CACATCCTGAAGGTTCAGGCATTGGTTTCAAGGAAGAAGACACACCCAATTTCACTGGTTCCTTCTATTCTAAAACCAAGGCTATGGTAGTTTCATCGCCCTTTTATCCTTGTTAAGAGTCTCACGTCGGCTAGATTCAGACCATTTCTCCTTAAACCTCATTTCTTTCCTTGAAAGCTCTTTTGAGAGTAATCTAATGATGTTTCACATATTATTGCATGATATTAGAGCTAATATGTATCCATCTAAGCCCCCTCTCAACACTTTGGGACAATGTGTACTTGTCTGGTCTTTGTTGGAGAGGCATGTTAGAGTCCCACATACTGTATGAAATGAATATAAAATRTTTTTCTTATTTGTGCAGGTTGAGGAGCTGTTAAAAGAATACGATAACGTGTGCATCCGGAGAGTTCGAATACCAATATCATCATACCTCAATAACCCTCGAAACTTTGTGAACAAGATTGCTCGTTACGATAAAGTAGTCAACATTCCCAACAACATGAGCCTATTGGATGAGCTTTTGCCGATATCCGTTGAAATGGCGAAGAGGAACCTGAAAAGAATCTGGAACTTCACAAACGTGGGGGTGGTGAGCCATAACGAGGTCCTGGAGATGTACAAACAATACATAAGTCCGCAATTCAAATGGACAAACTTCACACTGGAAGAACAAGCCCGTGTGATAGTAACCGCACAGAGCAATATTGAGATGGATACATCCAAGTTGAAGAAAGAGTTCCCAAAATTGCTATTGGTCAAAGAATCATTGATCAATTACGTATTCAAACCCAACAAAGAAGCCAAGGTAGCTGGTAAGGATTTCGTAAACCTGAAATGATTATTAAAATTATTATTAGACATTATTGTAATTATCATGTGTGGGTTATATAGATGTGTAATGCAAATTATAGGTGAGATCTTTTTACATCTACTATCTAGTGGCATGATGAATAGAAAAGACCCTATTAGTTGGGATGTTTACAACAAATTGTTATGCCAAATGATTCTATATATGTTTTTATTACATGGTTCTCTTTTCTTMKYTCACACCCATTTTGTTTCATTAGCCAACAGTTGTATTTTTCAAGTGAATGATGGGTTTCTAATAGTTTTACAGAACAAAAATTAATATAAATAAATTGTCTGTAATAGTGATGGATGTGAGTTGGWATTGGAATTAATTGATGGTGGTAAACAAGGAAAGGAATGGTGAAGGTTGTGACCATGTGATCCAGTCTTTATAACTTGTTTGCTGCTGGTGCTCCACATTCTTTTGATGATTTTAACGGTGATTTTAGGGTTACCGGTTTCATTTGGTGTAATGGATAAATATACGAGAAAGGGATCTTTACTAAGTTTTTTGTGCAAGTTAGGAGGTGCGGAGCACACACTTATATAAGACTAGATTGATCCTGGTATGACCAAAAGGTCTCGAGAGACACCGTTCCTATGTAAATATTCCAAAACCCCATTTCCTATGTGTAAAACTTTTACAACAAGATTTAATCTAATTTCTTAGCTCTTAAACAATTCATTAAGAAAATTAGAGCTTATTATATATGGCTCAAGATTTCATTATTATCTCACCATGAAGACTCTAGTTTCAACATTTTTCTCCAATTTGTGCCATGTAACACCCTAAAAAAATAAATATATAATAATAAGGTAGAAGGTAATGTGAACTGGGAATACATAGCGAGAACTAGAGTTTAACAAAGGTTTACCCAACAAGGGGAGATGATAAAGCGCTTACCAAACATCCAACGAGACGATAAATAACAACATATTAATCTAAACAATTCTATGCATAGATTAGGAATGGGTGTTTCTACCGCCTCCAACAAAATACTGTAACATCATATACTGTAACGCTCCAAATCACCAAAAAGAGGACTTTAACTACACAAAGTCTCTTATCATACGGGACAACGCTCCTCTCAACCCTTTTGAGGCCCGCCACTAAAGGAACCTGACAAACAATCAATTAAATAGGGAGGGTTAGACTTTCGCCTAGTGAGTCCAAATAAGAAAAAAAAAAAACAAAAGGACCAATAAAAGATATGCATAAGGATGTCCATGTAAATACAAGACGAAATTCCAAACGGTGCAAAAGGGGTATGCAAATCTAATAACTCAGAGTGGAGTTAACATCCGTAGATGACGGGGGAGACCCGATTTGTCGCTAACTATGACGGAACACAAAGTAAGTCATAGTTCAAGGTTACAGAGCATCACTTGTAGGTTTAATACCATTGACAACAACCTAACCAGTCATGAAGTCGATCGTGATCTTAAGATCTTTACCTCGGAAATTACATAATAATCACAATGCCTATTTCCGAGTAGGAGTGAGAAGATGATTTGGAAATTACATAATAATCGCAATGCCTATTTCCAACTTACACCATCGTTCTCACGAATGGAATGAAACGACATCCAAGCCTATAATCCCATTACCTTATGGACTTAACTACGTTATCTTAAGCATATAAACATCTACTCCTTACCAAGGTTATGCATAGGCCTTTAATCAAAAGAAATATTCCCATTTGTCAACAAAGAAGTTCAAATGTAGAACATGATGGTGTTTGAGTCTTACGGCCAACGATACTTTGAAATGAGTATTTTACCAAGTGATTAAAACCATTTTCCCCAACCTCATCTTTTCATTATAATCAAGGTCTCTAAGTTCACTCTTTTGACCTAAAAATCTCCATTTCAACCAAGCAAGTAATTACGTAAAATTAAAGTGTAAGGCAAATAATATACATCATTTCAATTAGTATAAGTTTTCATGAAAAGAATAAGATGAACTCACCTTGTAGGATTTAGGAGAAATCCCAAGTCCTGAACTAATTGGCGGACGGAAGAGGACGAAGAGACGCGCAACAGAGCTGCTGTTTGGGCAAAAGAAAACGAAGAAACAACACATCAAGGCTGTTGCCTGCTGTTGCTATTTGCTGCTGCTGCTTGTTGATCGAAAAGAGCACGACAGTCCTTCTCCTTGCTGCTGTTTGTACAATGGAAAAAGGAGAAACAGCACAGCAGAGTTGCTGTTTGCTGTTACAGTTTGGCGAAACACGGCGTCAGCGATTGTGCGGGCAGAAAACGAAGGAACAGGACAGCAGCGACTGCTGCTTGTTGTCCGTTGTTTGTTGCTGTCAGGTGCGGTCCGAATCACAGAGGAGCCAAGGGGCAGGGGCGTGGTTGGAGGGCGTGCAGCGATGAAACGGCTTCGACAGTGGCTGCTGTTCGGCGATGCACAACAGTGATTGTTGCGGGAAATGGCACGACAGTGCCTGGCGTGGCGCGGCGATGCTTGCTGCCTAGTGGTCCGAGTCACGGAACAACCAGAGAAGAGTGTAGGCGGAGCTTGAAGAAGAAATCAGGTGAAGGGTGAGGAAGTAGGCGTGGCTGGCGCTGAAATGGCCCACTCCGGGTGTTGCCATTCTTCCAAAAACCAAATCCAGATGGAGCTTTCCACACTCCTCACTCCTTCTTGAACAGAAGCTGCTGATGTCTCCTCTTCCCTTCTTGAATTCACTTTTATTTACCTCAAGGGGGAGGGACTCCATTTCCCAGGTGAAGCTCTCAACCCAATATTGCTTTCTCCACTTTCTAGCAAAAGAGATAGCAGGTAAGGGCTCAAGGTCTAGAGGGGGATTCTTCTAGGGTAAGGGAAAGTCTAAAGGTCAGGATCAAAATGCAGTGGGTAACACCCCCCCTTTTTTTTATTTATAAAAGCTCTTTTCAATTACAATTTCAAATCCAAAAGATTATATAAATGCATTCCCTTATCTTTTTCCCTGTTTTTGAAAGGTTTAATAAGGTAGTAGGGTCTAAACTCCTATCAAATAATATACACACATATATATATATATACACACACATTATATTTATATAGATATAGAGAACGCTTAACACGCAAACGAGACGGAGAAGGAAAATTTCAGGTGTTACATGCCATCCATCACATGCTTATTTGCCATTAAAGGAAAAAAAACATATTCAATGCAAAACTTATTTGCCAAAAAAACAACATGTTTGTAGGGACTCATGGACTCAAAGACTTTTACACCTTTTTCTTAAAAGGTGTGCCGTGTAAAAGAAGAAATCTTTCAAAAGATTTTTTCACATTTTTCTTAAAAGGTGTGCCATGCAAAAGAAGAAATCGTCTAAAATAATTATAACGTATGAAGATTAAAAGTAATACCATAAACACAAGCTATTTTTATTTATTATTGATGATTTACCCATAAAACGTCTTCAATACGTAAACAATATAAATTATCAACTAAAGCTATAAACGTCTTTCAGACTACATATCTTTAAACAAGTACTATGAAAAAACATTTTTTAGAAAATGACAATCGAATAAAAATACATTTAATCGTAATTCATCCTTCCATTTCATATAAATTTATTGATTATTCAACAAAAAATAATTAATTATAATACTTATTAGCGGATATTAGAAATAAGACAAATAACAAGGTAATATTACATTATGTAAAATAAATTATTGGTTTTACCTAATATAATATCTAAAAAATCAGTCAAAACATAGTTTAAGCTGACGTGATATTTTAAAAACTATTGGTATAAAAAGAAAATTACAGA